ATGTAATATAATATAATATAATATGATATGATATAATATAATATAATATAATATAATACCATATAATATAATATAATATAATATAATATAATATAATATAATATCATATAATATCATATAATATAATATAATATAATACAATATTGATAAGGAACCAATATTCCCATAGTGACACAGGATTTCGTCCACCAACGGTGTGTCCAGCTGCCTTTAACCAGCCTGGGTGCCACGACCGCTGGGCCTGCGACTTGACCATCTTGCCTTTGACTCCACTAGCCTGGGATCGGACTTTGGTTCAGAGCTGAAACTGCGGACCTTGAATAACAGCAATGGTTAAGACCCCGAAATGAGATAGGTGCTGGGGCGAGGATGACCGGTGATAGGTAGCAGCGGTCTTTCGGCTGCACGGAATCTCCAAAACGCCTGCTTGCAACCAGAAAGTTAACTTGCGAAAGGCTACCAACAGCAGGAGCGTGACGCAAGGTTCATTACTTCGACCTGTGTACCCGCTGGCCTGCAAAAGAGAAAAACACACTATCTATCTATATATAGATAGATAGATAGATAGATAGATAGGTAGGTAGGTAGATAGATAGATAGGTAGGTAGGTAGGTAGATAGATAGATAGATAGTTGTTGGCTATCGCGGGACATGTTCACTCATGGAGCACAACTTCCGAAACTCTGCAACAAACCTCAGGGAGGTTTCGATGTACCCCCCCCCCTCACCCAGACTTGGGACATGAACTCAAAGGGCCTACGGCCGCGAAGCTGAAACCCGTTTCGAGAAACCTGATACAAGCATCTGCAATGCACAAGGAACCTGAAGGATCCCTTGAAAAGAAAGCAAATCGAATATAATATAATATAATATAATATAATATAATATAATACAATATAATACAATATAATTAATACAGTATAGTATAATATTATATAAGGTGGTAACAACCCAGGAGCAGAGCCCTTGGATGCAGTCTGGCCAAAGCCTTTGCCCTTGCCACTGCCACTGCCTTTCCCCTTCGAGCCCTTCTCCTGGCCCGATGGGCTTGGAAATGCACCGACATCCCCAATAAACGCGCGTTCTGCGGCTTGGGTCCTATCTTTGCCTGGGTTGCAGAATCTCTGCTTCAAGTCTCAACACCTCGAAACATTTTAGAAGTAGAGCTGCTTGATTTTTTGCATGGTGTCTGTCTGTGAAAACTTGCGCCCTTGCCAAGCGCCACAGCACAGTGAGGCTTGATCAATAATTCTGAGCCTATGAGATCGCAAGCAGAGCATGGGACACTGTCGTGTCTCAGAATCGCGCGAAACTTGACCGCGGCCTGGATTCCAAGGAACCATTCAGACATTGATGGTAATCATGCTGTCCGTATTCCCGGAAATGCCGCGCCACTATTCTTAGACCACGATGAACAGCTCAGGTTCAGCGCACGGCGGAGATGCTCGAGGCCGGCACAAAGAAGTAGTGGAATCAGTCCGAAGGCGTGGTCGAAACCATGGAAAGAGGGTGCGTGAGCTGATCGCAAGCATTGCAGAAGCAGATCATTTCAGCAGAGCATGAAACGCCCGATGAAACCTGCTTTTGTTCAATCGGCTCCTTTGCAATGGGTTCCTTTATCGGACCACTGGAGGCCCGAGGCTTCATCCTATTCCCCACTTGGAGGTTCTTGGGACTTAGTAAGTAGGGATAGAAGTACGTTTGATTGGGGTTCTAGTTTGCAGGCACTGAACCCTAGCTGCTAGGTCCCATGATCCTTTCAGCAAGCCCAAGCCTGGCCTTGCTTTTGCCTTTGACACCCTTGCCTTTGGCACCTTTGCCCTTCTCTCGAACGGGCTTCGGTGGCGCTGCATCTTCGGGTGCCGGCGGCTCACCCTCCTGCAGGACATTGCACCGCTTGGGGATTCTTTGTTGGCTTGGGCTTGAGCGCACCGGGTTTATAAAGTCCCCCCCATCCTTCTGCGCGAAGGAGTGGTCCTCGCCTCGCACTGGGTGTGTCGGGGACTACCATCCGGCAGATTAAAGATCAGGCTCTAAAGGCAGAGTGCGAGTCGCCAAGTCTCTGGAGTTGCGGGCAAAGCCCGTTGAAGTTCTGACACGCACGTCACTCAACCAGTTTTTGCCGGTGGAGGTGCGAGAAGAAACAACAGCACCGGTTGCTCAAGCCACGCAGTGCAGTCGCAGCCGCAGCAACTGCATGTCTTACTTTGCTCCCAGCCCCCGCCGCTAACGTGCCAAGTCGCTTCGGACCAGCAGCCGACACTTCGCAGTGTCGGAGTGGCCCATGCCTCGCTTCGCAGGGGGTTTTAGAGTTTCGTTTCGGGCTTAGGGTTCCAGGGTCTCGGGTTTAGTCTGAGGGTTCTCTTGCAGACATATGCAAACACAGGGGCCTTATTTTCGGGTTTTCGTACAGGGGCCTTCGTTTTTAGAGCTTATGCGGGCTGCCATCCCAAAATCCAATAATACCCAAAAAATTGCAACTCCCAATTGCTCCGATGCCGGTTTGGGGCTTTAAGTTTCGGGATGTAAGGGCTTGAAGGTTTGGGGCTTGGGATGGTCTTCTCAAGGAGATAGAGGTACGAAGACTCCCGACCCGCTAGGGGAAACCTGTGCACCCACTTTCACTAGTCGCAGAGGCTTAGTGGGTGGGTGGGTGGGCAAAAAGCTACGCCTACACCCTGGAAGTTGGGCCCAAGGCTGCGGACACAGTCGACTCCGAACATTTCAATCTTCAAGAAGCCCCTTCCCAACCAACCTACATTCTCGAAAGATCTGGATCCAGAGCTCCCTTCAGTCGAGTTTTGGACGAAACTTCTCACCTCAACTCAACTCTCTGGATGTCGACTGAAGATCTCCATTTTCTTGAGGCGCCGCCGGTCTTGGTGAAGGTGATTGCCACACCGTTGTCCACCGCAGTCTGAAGGGCGGAAGACTCGATGTAGTTCCCCTCCACCTGCAGCCACCCCTTTTACAACTCCTTTGCAGTTTAGGGCTTCGTCGATATTTTCGGTCGCCCATGCCTTTATGGTTTAAAGCTGCAGGCATGCGTACTTCTGAGCCGCTCAGGCTGTTGATGCAATCTCTCAACTCTCAATCTTCAACCCGTGGACCCCTCTCCGATGATTCAAGCGGTGCCACTCGCATGTAGATTGGCAGCTGCCCGCGCTGCGGGTTGCGAGGGTCCGCCGCAGGAAAAACGTCGTTGTCGGTCAGTGCATCCTGGAATCTGCAGGGCAGGGAAGGCCAGGACGAAAGCAGACACATTCGGCTTCGGGTTGGGGCTTCGGCTTCTGGGCGTGGGGTAGGGCAGGGTAGCTAGAGATGCGCCGGGATCTATCACTGCTCGTGAGGGTTTTTGACCACGTGACCCATGTACTATGTGGTTCGAAGACTGTGAATGGAAGGTCCTCACTTCGCAATCACCATTGAACAGAATTCGATGGTTGCTTCGCGAAGGCCGTCAGTGCCGGTCCTTGTTCTCCTTTGCACATGATTCCCCTGGCTTTGGGATGAAAGCCCGAAAGGAAGCCTCTAGAGGAACCCCAAACCCGACCGAGGGGCCATGATGGCGCGGAAGCCCACAGCTGTCAGCGCGCAATCGCCTGGAATGCTCAATTGAGTGGCTGGAATGCCTTACAGGCTGAGGCGGTGGGCGAGGGACCGAGCTTAGCACCACCATTATCGCCAGTATCACTTCCAATTGGCGGCCCCTCAGCATAACCCACAGGGTCAAACGAATGCAGCGTAGCTGACTCCCCCAGGCTCTGTTCTCAGAACCTGAAAGAACCTACCAGCCAAAGCTAACACTAGCTTAATCGAGCAGCAAGCCATGAGCCTCCAGGGGAGCACTGTACTGCAGCTTTCCGTAGTTTGCAGAAACTCCGTCGACATTACCGAGCAGGTCCTAGGAGCGGGCACTCACCCATATAGTCCAGGATCAAACCCCATTCCCAAACCCGTGATAATACTCCTTCGGCTCTCTCCCGCGACATCGGCACTCCGGGCCCAGGCTTCTTCTTTTTTTGACTCTGCGACGCGGGGTTTGGGCCAAAAGCGCTGTCATGCTTGCAAAACGCTGTCCAAGTGGAGCAGCACGGGGTCAAAGCATGGAGCCGGAAAAGCCTCCATGCACTCCCAGGAAGACCGGGGGCTTACCATTGATCCCACATCCTGCAACAGTAGAAGTGCGGAAATAAAAACTTGTTGGGACGGTTGTTGCAGCGGCTTCCAGGGGAATACAATGTATCAGGAGAGCTCAACGAAACTGTACAGATGCGTCAGAACTAGCTGGCCGCGGCGCAATGCCATCTTCGGGCACTCTTGTCATCGCTGGCCAAATCAACGAGTGTGGAAGACCCAGTCTTGCGTTGCCCTTGCCGTTGCGGTTTCTTGCCAATGGCCACTTCCGAGGTATCTTTGTATCTACTACACTGCAACGCAGCACCAGGCTGTGAATGAACGGAAGCTGCCCATCCTATGTCCAGGGCAGAATTCCGTCCTCGGATTTTTCTGGCCTTTCTCACCAGGCATCCCGGCGGCTGTCTGAAGTCTCCTGCATCTCGAAGAGAAGCAGCATGGAACCGGCGGCGCCGGCCGTCGGATCCAAGGACAGAGGCCCCTTCAGCTCGATCCCATCGTGTCGCTGTAGATCGTGCACCTTGCCTCTGCCATCTCTCAACTTGGCCGAGCCCTCAACACAGAGCATGTAGCCCTGCCGTCCGGCATCCAGGGCCAGCGCCGGAGGGCTTTTGGAGGGGCTGAGTTCGGTCAGGAAGACGTTGCAATCTTGCTGAATCTGCACTGCAGCCTTCGTAGGCCCTTCAGCGTCTGAAACCACATGAGCCCACTGATCTCTCCTTGCTGCCTCTGCCTCCGGCCCTCCGGACATGGACCCGTAGTTTGGGGGGAACCCCCGCCTGCGTGGCACCACCCAGCATTGCACAAATCGCAAGGGCTCGTCCTTCAGGTTGTGCTCTGAGTGCCGGATCCCTGTACCCGCCGTCATGAACTGAATTGAACCACGGCCCAAAGTCTCCTCGGTCCCCATGGAGTCCTTGTGCGTCAGGAACCCATCAATAATGAAAGTGAGTATCTCCATGTCCCTGTGAGGGTGCGCACCGAAGCCACGGCGTGGTTGCACCAAGTCATCATTCATGACGCGTAAGACGCCGAAGCTGGATGGGCCACCGTGGTATTCCGCGAAGTTGAAATGGAAGCGAGACTTCAACCAGTTCTCGTTCGTCCACTTCTTGCCTTCGGCGGAATCGAGCGGAACATTTCCCTTGTTTCCAAACCACCGTGGATCGGGCTCTGAGGCGAAGAGCCTCTGCTCCTTGATGACCTTCACGGTGCCATTGCCGGCTGCGGCCACCCCGGTGACCTTGGGCCCTGGGCAGAGACACCTCATCGAAAGGAATCAGGAAGCTAAACTCAAACTAGCAAGTGCCGAGATGGCTAGGGTTGCGACACTCACTCGATCTACAAGGGATCTACAGGCGTCCACACCCGGTCTTGACGGTTCAAACAAGGGATCTGTAGGTTCCAAAAGGGAGAAAAAGAAGGCGTCTGGAAGGGTTCCAGCATGGATCTCTGAGGGTTCTTCTGCCAGCTCTGCAGGGTTGGTTGTAGTTTTTTATAGGGCTTTAAAGCCACTACTGTCCACGGGTAGGCAACCTGCGACTAGTACCCGCCACTATAGAGTCTAGGGGTTTGGGGCTTTCAAGCTCGGGGCGTTAGCGTTTAGACTTTACGGCCAGGGCTGGGTGGCAACATGCTGCAGCGCCAAGACCGCACCGTGCCTGTCACGGAGAACTTTTGGCCAAGTCGCTGAGGTGCATCTCGTGCGGAACATTTGAGGCGGTGACCCCTGCAGGGCCGAGGGCTCGGGCCGACGGACTTCCGGGGGTCTGGCGACTGCGAACCTTTGGGAGGGTAGTTCTCTAACTGAGGGTAGAAGGACCCTGAAAGGGTCCCAGGAACACTACGACGAGGAGTACGAAAGCCCCCCCGTCCTTGCAGCCACCCAGATAGCAGGATCGCAGCTGTGTCATCGAAAGTGGCGATGCCAAAGGCTCGCAAACGTTCGATGTGAACGGATGGCGAGGAAATGCTGTTAAACCTTGGAGTGGTCCAGGCTTTACCGGCCCCAAGGGAAAATGAAGGCGCAAGCAAGGCCCTTATTTCTTCTATTCTAACCCCCAATTAAGGCTTTGGGCACAGATCCACCAAATGCAAGGACTTCATCTCTAAGCGCTGGGCTCGCAGCAGAGGGAGTGCTCGCGACAATCGAAAACCCAGACCAAGCAAGGCCTTGCGCTCCAAACCCCCAGACAAACCAAACAAACCGTGAAAGATCCCAATATCGGCTCGAAGTGCAGCCTGTCAGTGGCAAAAGACTAGGAGCACCCTAGAACAGCACAAGCACCTGGAACCCGAAAGAAAGAAGCCCTTCCCCAAAGGGAACCTCCCCAATCAACATCGATTCCCGCACGGGGATCCCTACACCCAGCACCGACTAACGAATCAGCACAGGCGCATTGTCTCTAAGTGCTCCGTCGGAATGGCATTCCTGGTTTGGGTGCGTCGAGACAGAGGCTCAGGTCCGAGACTTCTTCGCTACTCGTCGGGCGGTTGTCGGAATCTGGACGCTTTTTTGTCTAATGCGGCGGGCGTCTGCGAGATGTCGAAGTCTTCGAACTTGAGGGTTTCTGCCTTTTCCGCTGCCTGGCTTGGGTGCTTCATGATCATCACACCACAACCATTCGACGTACGGTTCCTGTGGTTCCAGCTAAGCAGGACATCCTAACCAAGGCAGGCCTCCTCTATTCGTCGGTCGAGCTCGGCGCAAAAGAGGTGCGCGTCGTTGTCCTGAAAGAGCCCCCAACAGCGATAATACCCGAATACCGAGACCTCTGCTAGCTTCAGCAATCTCGCCATTCCTGTCTGGATACTTGGTGCTGCGTGCTCTCACAGCCATCTACTTCCCACGAGATCCCACAATCAGAAGCCCATGGTGCCGTTTGACAACTCGTGACGAAACTTTGTGCAGTCATGAAGCGTCTTTCAGCTTTCGTCGCAGGCAGAGAGCAAGCCTGCCTTCCCCTTAGTAGTTGCGGCCCAAGATAACCCAGGAGTGTCATGACATGCGCCAAGATCACGGATCCATGCCAACTCGGACAAGAGACGCCGCTGCTCGAAGCAGTTTTTCAGCCATTTCGGCACCTCCTCTGCTCATGGGCGCAGCACGAGTTTCTGGTGTCTTCCAGCTGTTGGTCTGGCTCTACACCGTTTGTGCACTCGAGACGGCCGAGATGATGTCATAGACCTCATGTCCACTGTGTAGTACGAACATCTCACACCCTAGCAACCACTATCCTAAGCCACAAGCACTGAGCGCTCCTCCAGTACTTCACCCCCTTCCAGCTCTTCCTGGGACGGGGAAAAGCAAGCTAGGAGGGGTGTTAGGGAAATCAAGTGTACGGGAAGCCCGGCATCCCTCTTGCAACTTGGCGCGCTGGGGCTCTTCGTCGCACTGTGGAACTAGCGAGAGGTTGAGACACTTTTGATGTGAACTCGGGCTTTACAGGAAATTAGGGTCAGAGCCCTGCAGCTGAAGGACATGAGGATCAACAGCATTTGAGCCAGAAAGTCGCACTGGTGTAGCAACTATACATGGAAAAGAGTCCTTGGAATCGTTTCTCTTGGCTCTTAGAAGCTCCTTGTCCGATGACGGACATGAGTGCCTGGCAAACAGCCTCCATCTTCAACCCAAGCCAGGATTCTGCAGCGAAGAAAGCACTCCCCTGCAACTACCCTGCACTCCACACCTTCACACGACGGCAAAGTCGCAAAGGTGTCTGCATTGCCGGCATCGGCATCACCGGCATCTGCGGCATCTGCATCGCCCGCTGCTTCTTCGAGAAGCTCCTAACCGGAATGAGAGCCCGTGCCTGACAACCTCGAGGGGAAAACGCACACGATAGATTGAATTCCCTGCCTATATGTAACCGCCTAGACAATTCGAGCATTCCGAAAAAGGCTTTTCAACTAACGTCGGGCATCGAACCTGCTGTGCTACATCGGGCAGTCGTGCCACTCCGGCGTGTGCTGACCAGGGGCGAATCAGGAAGAGACTTCCGGAGCTAGAACGAGCCCGCAAGGAAAGCAAGACAAGTGGCAGCTCTGATCCCAGAACCTGGGACTATCAGTGCACGGCAACGGTAGCAGTGGCACGCAGATACCGCCAAAGCACGACTTCGACCACAATTTGAACAGCAAAGCTTGAGGTCCAAACGCTGACGGCGTCTTTCGGATCCGCAAGTTCGCAAAAGTTTGCGGCACACGCCCGCTAGATGGCCCCCGACAGAGAAGCAATAACAAGTAAGCCACCACTATACACTTGAATATGCAAGGCTTCGGAGTTCGGGGATCAAAGCTGGAGATGTTGGCAAACACCCTGGCAAGATCTGGAAGTCTTTGACTAGGATTTTGGGCTACCGCATTTCGGCTCAAGAGGGCTTCGCCCAAACGACCTCTCCTCGCCCTCTTCCGGCAGCTCATCGAAACTGCCGTCCATGGGAGCTTCTTCGTTCCTCGGGCACCAGGCGACGCATCAGAACAGAGTGGCCAATCGATTGCTGCCCCTTAAGTGGCCCTTAATCATACGCAGTATGCTGACCCTAAAAGCGATCGACCACCAATAGTCACTTTTGCATCACAATCGCTGTTCAGCCTGACATTGGCCCTGAGACTCTCCATATGGCTGCTGCTGCCACCGGACTCGAGCGATTCTTCCGGCAGCACCTCCTCCTCAAAGGCCTTCAGGGACAGATGAGAGCCAACATGGGCATCTTAAAGGGGTACAGAGGGTTTTAGTCGGGGCTGAGCACATGGGCTTGTACAATCAAGAATAGGGTTTTGTGGTATGCTCCACTACAAGTGAGTTGAATGGGGAACGTGAGGAGCCAGGCGCATTGCTAAGTAGACAGGCTTCCATGGTCGAGCTTGGATCTGCAATCCCCGCGCTGAAACCTCACGGGAAAGCAGTGCTTCTCGGGTTTAGGGTGCTAGGTTAATGGTTCAGAGTTTAACTGGTATTCCGACGCGGGACCTGTGTAGACTCGCCAAAACCCATGTAACCCCAACCTCAGTTCTGCACTGCTTCGCCTCTTCTGCCGGGGCATCGTCCATGGGCGCTTCTTCCTCTTCCTCCTCCATCTCCTAGCAGGTTTACACTGTACCGGTTGAACTTCCTGCGGGTTGTGCTCTGGATCCTCGAAGATTAGGAGCTTTTTTTGGGCTTCTTCTAGGCTGATACTAAGAACACCGGCTTAAGAGGTGTTTAGTCTAGGGCCTGTAGAGATACAGACACGAGTTCACAGCACCGGTTCGACCTGACATCCAAGATTTCTTCGGACGGGGTCACGCTCCTGCTCCCCCTCGCTGGTGCTCAGGCGTCAAGCCGAACCGCACGCCCATGAGCCAAATGCAGCTTGTGGTGCGGATCATGCGAGGTTCAGCAGGTGCCGCAAAGACCACTGCAACTGCTTCGCAAAGGCACGTCATGATCCCTGAACTTGGAAGGCCCATGATAGGCACGGACTGGACGCGACCTGCCTCCAGAATGATGAAAGGATTACCTTGACCCAGCCAGGCATGCGGCTCGTGATACCTACCGCACAACAGACGAACAACCCTGCCATTCGTCACCTTCCGTCTGCCCGCCCGCTCCCAAAAACGTACTGCAGTGCGGTTCAGAACCCAGAGTTTCCGGCCGCTTGGTGCTCGGACTTCTTCATCGCTGCGGCCCCAAGTACCCAAGACCCTGAAAGCCCAGCATACTGCAGTTGAGGGCGCCATATTCGTCCACTGCCAGCTGTCCTACTGGTGCCGCCATGGCACAGGGACCTGGGCGTTGGATCCCGCTTTGTTTAGTCTGAAGGTCTGTGGCTTGATTCAAGATTTGTGAAATGAAGGTTGTTGACCGATTTTTGCTCAGTCGTGTTCGCCTCTTGCGAGACCGAAGCCTGCCGCCCGGGAAGCTTTACATCATGGCTTCCAGCTTCCGGATACATTGCTTGGAGTGCCGCTAGCTGTTGCCGTGATTCTGTGAAATCGAAACCCAACGACAACGTTCAGCCTGGAAGGGGGAGTTCCAGCCTTCCTGAATTGAGCCAGTCGGGGTGTGTCGCCTTTTCGACTCGTGGCAGTCATCGCCTTCTGGCTGCTGCTGTTATCAACACGAAATGTGATAATGTGGCTGCTCGTCTTGTCTCTGGCGCCTCGAGTGGAAGCAGAAGCACCCTCAAGGATGTGCACTCCTATACGACTAGCGAGGCAGAAGCAAGGCCGCAAAGAAATATGGGCATCGAAGGCTGCTCTAGATACAGAAAACGGTGCTTGGCGACGCAGCTTCGCCAAGAAGTGCTGATCCTGCACGGAGGACCGAATCACCTGAAGTCTTATTCCCCCCATATTTCCTCAAAGCCTATTCCCCCAACATCCTCAAAGCCTCTTCCCCCAAAAAACCTCGAACCCTAGACCTCCAAAACCCAAGCAGAGCCTACAAAGCTCTTGAGCTTCGGACCGAGAGTTGTCTGGCCCAGGGGTCCCCGAAACAAAACACTGGGGGCCCAAAAAAGGCAGATCGGAAGAGGCCAGGGTTCCGGGCTTTAGGGCTTTAGGGTT